CTCTTCTGCAAGAAGAAACCTCCCAAAACGGGCACACAGAAATCGGATTTGTAGCCAAATGTGATGAAAAAGATGAGGTTCTAAAGAAATGGCATGAAGTCAAAGATCCTCTCCCTTCTTTGTAGAATTAAGATAACTTTGATTTTATAGCTTTTGAGCTAAAATTACTTTTGTAAAGATTAAGCTCATTTAGACTTTTTTTTTTAAGTATTTCAGCAGGATCTGCTGGAGGGGTTTTGTTATTGTTATGTTTGTTTGCTTAATTTTAAATTAACCGTTTCAGGCTTTGAATACTTAAGGCTTTAGAGAGAGAACCCAATTTTCAATTATGTCGGCTTTTTATAAAGCTTGAGTTATGTAAGATTTCAATAAAAGTTTGCTATCAGGATGATTGCCTTACTTGAATAGGTCACTCTTATAAATTCCTCGAGATACAGATTATCAGTACATCTGTGGAAACGATGTAAACTGTACTTAAGTGTAAAACAAGGCAAGTCTCAGATGCAATAAGTTTGGATATGTTATTTTGTGCTGTTAATCAAATTAGCCAAAGTCATTTTGGCCCCTTAAACAGGTTTAAGTTAAAAATAAAAGATTTTGTAGTGGACCTGTTATACAGTTTTGCCTAAGTTAATAGCTTTTTAAAATGTTCTTTAAACTTAAATTGGTTGAACTCAAAAATGTAGTTCTAATACTTGGGATCTCATCTAGCCTGGTAATCCCACTTTCTGAAAGTGATCATTGTAATTCATGTTTTGTAAGAGTAAGTTTCCGTGATCTTTACTGTTATGTAAAAATAGAAGTAACCTTTCTTTGATCAGAAATTTAGTATGTTATTCAAAATGGAAAAGCAAATACTGTGTTTTCTATTGGAAAATCCTTAATATTAACAGGTACTTAACAGATCATTTGGTAAATCAATTACCATTTAAAGCAAAATTCTGCCTAACAGTCATCCTTTTGTAGTTAGTGGGATTCTGTGATAATTGGTTAGATCATCCTTATGAACTTTATGTGGTTGGCTTGGAAAAAACTTAAATGGGTTAAACCCTAGTACTTCATCATAAAGTGTAATACATACTGTGGAAACTAAAAAAAAAAAAAAAAAAGAATACATTGAATCAGTTCTAATGAGGTGGATGAAACTGGAGCCTATTATACAGAGTAAAGTAAGTCAGAAAAAAAAAACACCAATACAGTATACTAATGCATGTATATGGAATTTAGAAAGATGGTAACAATGACCCTGTATGCGAGAGAGCAAAAGAGACACAGACGTATAGAACAGTCTTTTAGACTCTGTGAGAGAAGGCAAGGGTAGGATGATTTGAGAGAACAGCATTGAAACATGTATATTACCACATGTGAAACAGATCGCCAGCCCAGGTTGGATGCATGAGACAAGTGCTCGGGGCTGGTGCACTGGGAAGACCCTGAGGGATGGGATGAGGAGGGAGGTGGGAGGGGGGTTCAGGATGGGGAACACATGTACACCCATGGCTGATTCATGTCAATGTATGGCAAAAACCACTACAATACTGTAAAGTAATTAGCCTCCAACTAAAATAAATAAATTAATTTTTAAAAAAATAAAGTTGAGCACCGAAGAATTGATGCTTTTTAACTGTGGTGTTGGAGAAGACTCCAGAGAGTCCCTTGGATTGGAAAAAGATCAAACCAATCAATCCTAAAGGAAATCAGTCCTGAATCTTCACTGGAAGGACTGATACTGAAGCTGAAACTCCAATACTTTGGCCACCTGATGTGAAGAGCTGACTCACTGGAAAAGACCCTGATGCTGGCAAAGACTGAAGGCAGGAGGAGAAGGGGACAACAGAGGATGAGACGGTTGGATGGCATTCCTGGCTCAATGGACATGAGTTTGAGTAAGTCCTGGGAGTTGGTGATGGACAGGGAAGCCTGGTGTGCTGCAGTCCATGGGGTCGCAAAGAGTCGGAAACAACTGAGGGACTGAACTGAACTACACCTCCAGAAGTCTGCACTCCTCCTAGCAGCACGTGCACAAAACAATCAGCTGTCACCCCAGGTCTGCACACTGACTGAGGGGTGCCTCACCGCGGAAAGGGCCTCTTCCAGACTCTCAAGTTCCAGAACAAACCACAGTCTGAAAGAGAGAAAGGAATGGGGTCTGAAATGGTAACTGCCAAGACACCAGGGCCTTCCGCCTCAAGGAATTCAGAGGGACCCCTGCCTCATACACTTGGCAGAGAGACAGGAAGGGGACTGATTTCTGAAACCTCGTGCACCAAGGAGGCTATAATAAATATGCTCTCTGTTCATGAGCAGAGGAATGAAGAAGAGGGCTGGGTTAATGAGGACTTCAGTGAGGAAACATAAATCTAGCTGCGAAAGGACTGCATTGCACAGAAGTGGAGAGAGTTCAGGTGACACAGGAAAGATAAGGCTATCCTGCTCTGAGAATGGCCCTCACTCTCCACAGGAGTCAGGAGGTCAAGGGGACCGAAGAGTCCTCCATTCAACCTCCACACTGCATCCCCCCCACTACCTTCCAGAAGGGGGCTCTCCAGACCCGCCCCAAGGCCACCACCCCAGAACAGGAGCAGCCTGCACTGTGGCTGTCCCTCCCTACCAGCAACTTCCTACCAACATTTAGACCCAAGCCCAGTGGACTCCGCCATATTAGAACCAAAACGTAGGGCGTTCCTGGCGGTCCAATGGCTGGCCGAGATCCATGCTTCTAGCCGCAGGGGCTGCAGTTCAATCCCTGGTCAGGGAACTAAGATGCCACATGCCACACAGGCAAATTAAATAAATAAATGAAAACAGCAGAGAAGGGACATATGTAAAACTATAGCTGGTTGGAGTCACTGTACAGCTGAAACCAACACAACACCGTAAAACAGTTTTCCTCTGATGAAAAATTTTTAAAAAGCGAACAAAGAAAAGGCGGGAAAATGGCACCAGAGCAGAAGGCCTCCCGCCCTGCTGGCCTCTCCTGGCCTCCGCTCTCTAGCGCCCCTCTGCAGCCATGCCTCCCTGAAGGCCCATCTCCTTCACTGCGGGCCCCACCACGGCTTCCCCACGCCACGCCACAACTGCTCTTGCAAGGTCAAGGGTATCCTGCTTGTTGGAGCCAAAGGACATGATGCAAGCCTCCTCTCGTGATCACTTTCCTTCCCTCCCCTCTTCTCAGCACCCGTCCTCACTGCCCACCCACCCCTGCCCTGCTAGTGCCCCTCTTTCAGCTAATAGGATCACTCCCTGGGACCACCTCCCCACCGACATCCAGATCCTTCCCTCCTGCTTGAGACTTTCACTTGTGCTTCACGTCTCAGGCCACTGCACACACAAATTCCAGTGTTCACAACAAACTCATCTGCCTGCCCCGGCCCCAACTCCCAAGCCCTCTCTTCCTGCGTGTGCTCGGCCTCAGGGAAAGGCAAGGCCACCACCAAGCCAAAACCCACATTCATCCTCAGCTCCTTCTCCCGCCCCACAGCCCCTCAGCGAACCACAAAATCCTAAGCCCACCTTCCAAGGCCCTCTTGGGTCTTCCTTTCTATGCTTGCTGAGCACCCTTGTTCAGGCTACCATCACCTCTCACTGGGCCCTCCCAACCACGGGGACCCCCCCTACTCTGGTCTCCACACCAGTCAGTGATCTGTGGAAACCACTTCAACAGGGTGCCACGCTCTGCCTGCAGCCACCGCCCTGGTGGTCAAGCCTGGCCTCAAGCGGAAAGATGGCAGGGGCAGGATGGTACCCTCCCCTGCTGACTCCAGGGCAGCCCGGCAGCCACACAGCCACGAGAACCACCACTGCCTCAGAAAATACCGTAATACTCGGAGATGGGCACTTGCCCCTGGGAGGCTCCTCTCCCCAGAGCAGGGCTACATTCTGAGGAAACCAGTAGAAGCACCCAGAGATTCTCCAGTGGAGCAGCCAGAGCTGCCCGTCAAAGTCTCCCACCCAATCCAGAGAAACAGTAGTAAGAGTAACTGCCTAATTCTTCAAAACCCAAGCCTCTTGCAAGGATTAAAGGAGATGGTGCGTGAGGGTGGCCACTAGTGGCTGGCATACAGCAGTGCTAGTGGTCATTAAGGCAGAGCTTTGCCTCCCTGCCCTGACAGTCCAGGGGCTCACAGGGAACCTCCTATGGGATCCTGGGACCTGGAGACTTCACAGCTGTCAGGAAGTCATTATGAGGGGCCTTGCTCACTTCTCCCCCTCAATCATGCAGTCTTTGTGGTCAAGCTCATTCTAAGTCCAAAAGTGTCCCCACAGAAGTTCAAGCATGATCAAGCCCAGTTACCTAGAGGGAGACTGCAGGGGAACCCGAACCTTCACAATGGGAGGGTCTCAGTTTTCACCTGAACCGGGGTGAAAGGAGAGGACAAAATGTGGAGTTAAGAGAACTTGAGCCCTTACTTGGGTTTTAGTTTTTTGTTGTTTTTTTTTAAGGAAGGGGAGACAACTGGTCTCCATGATCAAGTAGCTTCTGGTGAAATCAAAGTGGAAGCTTCTTCCACACTGCAGGATCAATCATTCCCTTTTCACTGACCTTAACAATGATGCCCTGGAAACATCACAGGTTACAGCTAATTTTGTATTATACATGTGCAAACAACAGCGTCCAGATACCTAGACCCTATACTGTATGTTCTTTCAGTTTCTATCCAAGAGTCTGGACCTGCCACAACGCCCAAGCCCACAAAAATGACCCGGTAAAGAGCTGGAAAGTTAAGAGTCAAGTACACATACCTCCCCAAACTGGGGGCCTGCCCGGAAAAGATTTTTATTGTCTATAGTTCTGTCATTTTCAGAACGAAAGGCTTTAAATGATATTTTTCAAAATCATTTGGAGCTACAAAACCATCATCTTCATTAAAAAGGTGCTCAGAGGCCTCCCTGTTGTCTACCGCGTTGGGACCTTTCCCCAAGGCTTCCCTAAACCCCACTCCTTCTCTGGGGGGAGAACGCTGACATTCGCGTCCCCTCCGCGATTCCCCAGCAGTTACCTCGCTTGAACTCCTCCAGGACGGCGTCCAGCTTGGTGTCATTGAAGACGAAGTGGAGTGGGTGATTGTAGAAGCGGGTGATGGTGCTGAGCGGCGTGCAGTCTTCGGGGTCCACGAAAGCCAAGTCCTTGAGGTAGAGCATGTCCACGATGTTGGAGCGCTCGTCCTCGTAGACGGGGATGCGCGTGTGGCCGCTCTGCATGATGCTGGCCAGGACGCCGAAGTCCAGCACGGTGCTGGCATCCAGCATGAAGCAGTCCTCGAGGGGCGTGAGCACGTCCTCCACTGTCCGGCAGGGCAACACGCCCTTGCTGAGATCGCTGTAGGGGTCGCCGCCGCCGCGCGCCAGCTCCAGCACGCGCTCGCGCAGCCTCCCTGGCCGCGCCGCCAGCTCCAGCAGCTGGCCCACCGGCAGCGCCACGGGCAGGGTGAGCAGCACCGCCAGGCGGCTGAGGATCAGCGCGCGCGGCGCTAGTGCCAACGTCCAGCGCCCGCTCACGGCAGCCGGCACCACCTCTCCCACCAGGAACACGAGCCCCGCGCTGCCTAGCACGGCGGGGACTGCGCGCTGGCCGGCCGCGCGGTACAGCAGAACCGCCAGCGCCGCCTGCGCCAGGCTGGCCAGCAGCAGCAGCGCGCCCAGGGCGCAGCCCGCCCAGCGCCGTGCAGGCTCCAGGCGCCGCGCCGCCGCACGCTCCGCCTCCGAGCCGCTCTCGCGCAGCACCTGCACCTCGGCGGGCGCCAGCGCCAGTGCGCTCAGCTGCAGGCCCCGCGCCAGAGCCGCCAGCGCCAACAGCCCCGCCGCCCCCAGGCCCAGAGCCCAGGGCGGCGCCTCCTCCTCGGCTGCCGAGCCGCCCGGCTCCACACGCACGGCCAGCAGCGCCGAGTGCGGGCGTGCGGCCTCGGCGCGCAGGCGCAGCAGTGCGCGCCACTCGCCCGTGAGGGCTGCCGCCTCTTCGGCCGCCGAACCGCCAGGCTCCCCGCGCACCGCCAGCCGCACAGAGTGCGGGCGCGCGTCCTCGGCGCGCAGGCGCAGCAACGCACGCCACTCGCCCGTGGGGGCTGCCGCTTCGTCGGGCGCCGCGGCCGGCCCGCCCTCGGGGCAACCCGCCCCCTCAGGAGCCACCCAGGACCAGGAGCTGTTGGAGAAGCCCGAGCCGAAGAGGCGCAAGCGGAAGGTGGCCTCCGGCGCTGCCCGCACCTCCCCTTCGTGCGCCCACCCCGCGCCCGCCGCTCCGTCCTCCTCTAAACAGACGCCCAGCAGTCGCGGGTCCGGCGCCGCCTCGCCGGCGGCGTTGCCCAGGCAGAGCGCGGCGAGCAACCAGCCTAGCCGACCCGCCGCCGCCGCCGCCGCCATCGCCTGCTGCCCCCTCTCGGCCTGCCGCGCAGCCTACCTCTCCGCCTCCGCCGGGCCAATCGTCGCCAGCCCTGGAGTCTCCTCAGCCAATAGGCGGTGGGCGGGGGCGGGCCCCAGGGTCGGACTAGGCTGCGCCGGGGAGTAAACAAGCGGCGGCGAGATCCCGGGGCGGGCCGGGGGCGTGGGGCTCTTGGCCCTGTGGGCCTGGGCCGCGGCAACCGGAGGACGCTGGGCGGCGGGCTGGCCCGCTTTCCGCGGGCGCCTGGTTCCCTCCGGCCGTCCCCAGCGCTGGGAAGCCAGGCCCGTACTCTGGGAAGTCCCTGGCTCCGGGACTCGGGCCGCCAAGAGGAGTGGCGCTCCTGAAACTGCAGCTAGAGTATTCAACGAAGGGAGATGGTCCGTTTTCTCAGAAATCAACGACCCAAACCTCGAAGAGGGCTAAAAGAACCGGCGACTGGGCCTCGGAAGCTAAAGCTTATTTTAAGTATTCCTTGATCGCGCGCGACTCTGCTATGGGTCTGGGACGTAAACACACAGTCCCTCCTTAGATGAACTTGCACCCTGCCAGAGAGAACAAAGAACGTAAACACACGAAATCACTGCCTCATTGGATCCTTGCAGCTACTTCGTTATTAATACACTTGACCAGAGATGCACAGATGATGGATTCCAAAGCGACCAGCTAATATCCTGTAGCCATCCCAGCCACACTAGGAGTTGGCATCTCTGTCAGGAATTACTGTATCTGGTCACTTCACTTGTAGCAGAGGATCCTTGGGAAAATAATTCCTAACGAATAATTTTATTCCTAAAATAATTCAGGAACTATTCAAGAGGATCCTCCCCGGATTGTTGTTTTAGAAGACTGGATGGTCCTTGACAGTATGGAGTGTTCCGCAACCTGTTATATGTGAACTTTACCTGGTTGGAAGGAAATGGACAAGCTAACAAGACTTCTCTATAAGTGTGCCGACAAAATGGTTTTTTTGTATTTTCTACATTTTAATGTATTTTCAACCTTCCTAACATAGGTAGACTGATAAGACCATCCATATGAGTGTTATTTAAAATGGGCTTTGCAAGGACTGTATAGAAACACATATGTTGTCATGAAAATACTATTAAAAAGCTTAGGCACTGTGGTCACAATTAAGTGAAATATACTTGTGTGGAAGGTAATGTGCAAAAATGAGTAAGCCTGTGGTGAGTGACCAACATAAGTATTGTGTGAAAAATTCCAGAATAAGCTGCCAACAGAAGCAATTATGACCTTTGGCCCTTTCCACCGGACTGGCATGCCTCTTTTGAAAAAATAATAATAGACTCAGTCCCTTTGGTTCACACCTGTCTCCAAGTCCAGATAAAAATGCTGACAGAGATAGAATGGACAACATGCTTGAAATGAGCTACATGCCTGAAAAGTTAACCAGCAAAGAACAGTTCCAGAGGCAAGGTGGGAAAAACGCCCAGTACCTCTACACAGGGCTCTGACCTGCGACTTTTCCTCTGGGCTCAAGCTCCCTTGGAAAACAACCTTGTAACTTATTTTGGCAGGGAAACCTTTAGATAGAACAATCAGATCACACTTGGAAAACACGAATGATGATTTAAACCATGAGACCCAAGGATCCAGCGCAGGGCAAACAAAGTTGCCCATGAATGACCTTCTATGAACAACATAGGTCCCACACCAATTTCCCAGCTTCTCTCTTCCTTGGCTCTGCACCATTCTTTGGTCCATTATTGCAGCATCGGTGGAGACACTTGGCACCAGACTTCCAGGTCCCTCATGGGCGATTTTCCTTTCTGGCCATTCAGCTCAAGACATTTCCATGTTTTATCGAAATATTTGTTCTTGAGTTTTAAACCCGTAACTATTGTGTGTGACCCCTGACTGCCTCCTGCTTCTCTCTCACGTCTGTATACATCACTTCCTCCAGCCAGTTTTCCTCGACCATCTTTACTAGGTTCAGTCAAGGTTATAGGAGCAGCATGCTCCCCTCCAATAAAATCCGGTACTTACCTTCTGGTAAGGCCCATTCATTCGTTCATTCAGCAAGTATTTCCTGCATCCGGTGCCTGCAGTGCACCAGGTACTGCTCTAGCACTGGGACTGCAGTTGAAATAACATGACCTACTGGAGCTTAAGCTCTAGTGTGAGGACAAAAAAATATACAAATCCTTATTTTAATACCTGACAGTTAAGTTCTACAGAGAAAAAAACAAGGCAAGATGAGGAGACAGACAGAGGGATGGGGGCCAAGCTCTTTTGGGTGGTCTGATGGGGGAAGACTTCAAGGAGGTAGCATTTGAACAGAGGCTTAGATGAAGCGAGGGGTGAGCCTCACAAAGACCTGGGAGAATAATCCAGGTGGAGAAGACAGCCTGAGGGGTTGGTGGCATGCAGCAGAGGCTGAAATGTGTGTGGGACAGATGGATGAATGAAATTCTTGCCCACCTATACACAAGACTCTGCATCTGTTATTCCTTTTATCTGAAATGCCCTCTTTCCTTTCTGCCTACCCAATGCCTAACATTCTCCCCAGTTCCCCTCTTAAGCCAGGCTTCCTTGAGCCCCTGGCCTGGGCGCACTCCATTGTACCCACCGGCTGAGGCACCTGGGGGCGCTGTGGGAGTCTACCCGACTGAAGCCTCCGGAGTGGATATGCAGTGAGGTCCCTTCCAGGTGGGCTCTCCAGGGGTGGGCACTCCAACTTGGAGACCACAACCAGCCCCCAAGTCTGGACCGAGAGGCAACTGCTGTTCTTAGACAATGCAATCATGGTTTTAGATCAAGCACCTTTCTCCTTCAGCCCCTAGAGGACAGAGGAGGGGCAATTTGCCCATTACAGCTGTCCCTGACCCTCTGGTTTCCATGTTACTGGATTCATAACAGTGGCAGTTGAGCACACTTGCTGTATCGCTCTAGCAGCAGCTGGCACTCTCTAGCCCCTGTGACAACAGCCTTGATTATGTTTTTGTAAGTTACATGTCCATTTCTTTTTTTTTTCCTAGTGCTAAGCAGTCCCAGGATGCTTGTCTCTTGCCCTGTCATAGCCAAGCACAGCCACTTCAAGCTCTGTGACAGGACCTGAGCTCAGGACAGGCAAACTGCAGGCTCACCAAGATTTATCCATATTTCATTTTTTTATTACCAATCAAAAATAAATTCCATATATCATTTAGCAAATATTATCATTGTTTTGTGACAAAAGACACAAGAGTCATAACAACAAAACTCCCCGAGAGTCAAAACTCATAACAATGCCAAAATAAATCACAAAAATATACAAATTAAAATCTTATGCAAAATAAATACGAGTTACTTGCTACGGTGGCTGTGACTCGCCTACCCTCATGGAGGCCTGCTGTTTGCGGAGGTCCCCCTTCCATGGGAAGACGCGCAGGGCTGGGCCAGGTCCAGGGTACGGCTCAGCCCAGGAACCAGAGGCTGGAATAGGAAATGAGAAATTGCACTGGGAAGAGGAAGTCATCGGACCAGTAATATTTGGAAATAACCATGACCCTCTGCAAAAAGTGATTATAAATGGAGACAGGGAGAGGTGGGGAGGAGGGACCATCTCTTGAGAGCATCTGTGTGTGCAGAGAGGTAGCCGTGGAAGTGTGTGTACCTGCTCCATGGACTTCACACACAAACACTAGGTTCGGGCAGTGAGTGGGCTCAGGCAGCACTCAGACCCCAGGAAAACCGTACTGCAAGCCCCCATGTGGATGCGGAGAGCAAGCTGCTCCTGGAGAAAACTAAGGGGTTTCCCTGGACAGGGCACGAAGGTCTGGTGTCTTCCTTATGGCCGAGCACCCACAGGTGTCACCACCTTCTCTCCAGACTTGTGGGAATCACTGCTGTCACTGGTGAGGCCTGTCACACTGACCGGGGCCCAGCGTACTTGGGGCAAGGCGTTTCCCGGTCACTGCCAGCAGAGCGCTTAGGGTACCTGGTCTCACGGGCTGAATACACGCTGAATACACAACGTGCTGGAAGGCCTGCAAGGCCCCCTCGTCTGTTCCAGGCCCCCCAGCCATTCCACCCAACCAAAGGGCCAAAGTGGACCTTGGTCCCACAGCCTCCCTGACAGGAGAAGCTGCAGGACTGCAGATGGGGCTGGGGCACCCAGGGTCCAGCACCACGGGCTGCAGCAAAGACCAGGATGACAGCTCACACTAGGACCACACACGTGAGTAGGACGGGGCTGCTGGCTGGGTGCCTTCTAGGTGGAAACCTCCTTTCCCGGGTTCTGTAAGTACGTGAACAAGGTCAGGTGAGCCTCGGCCACAGAGGAAAGGGCATGAAGAGCCGACTGGTGTTGGCTTCCTACACGTCCTCCTGACCTCAATCCCCAAGAGACACAGGTTTGGGATTAGAAGCAGGGAATCTGGAGAGAAGGGCTTTGTGGGTCAGTAATGAGACTTGACTTTGGCTATGGGGTGGGAGGGGGATGAACTGACTGCTAACAATGTAGATGCTCATGACCAAGCTCCCTCCTGGCCCCGAAAAGAGCATCACGGGTAAGCCCCTCTAACACAGACCCTCTCCCCACCAGGGGGAAACCTTTGGTGAAACTGAGGGCAGGGCCTGGGGAGCAGTCTGGTTAGCAGTCTTAACGGTGTGAGACCCGCTCAATACTTGGGAGTCAGTCCCACGACAAGGGGAGAGCTGTCCAAAGGGGTTGACGTGAGGCAGACCGTGGGGCAGGCCTCGGCCCAGCCCAACTCACCAGGAGACCCCATCAGCAGGGTTCTAGGAGGTTCCTGGGTCCAGCGATTGACAGGAGGAGGCATGCTCCTCTCCAGAGTTGGGACTGTCACCTCCCTGACCAGGGTTCCCAGAAAAATCCCGTGGCCTCGGTGACGACAGGTGAGCCTCAGCGTGCATCCAGGCAGTTGTTCTCAGCACTATTTGGTTCTTTGCTTCCTGGGAAGAACTGTCTTCTCTCCCAAGAAGAAATCTTCCTCCAGGAGGCTGCAGTGGTGCCGTCTCTGGAGGACGTGGAAGAGGAGTAGGGAGAGTTGGCTCCCTGAGTCAGGGATGCAGCCAGAAGGTCACAACTGGGAGCACATTATGGCTATTGCTTCCCGGGGTGAGAAACCCTACCCCTTTTAAAGTTTCTGTGGAAAAAAAAAAATTGCTTTTAAAGTTCCTTAACCCTGTCTTCCCTTCCCCCTGACATTTAAAAAGAGGTGCAACGAGCTGAGTTTAGGAGCGTTCCTGGTCGCCGGTATACTGCCCCACAGTCCGGGGCCGTGCAGCTGCCACCTCCAAGCTGTTCAGAGGACCCTGTCAGAGACCAGGTCCCCCTCAGGCAGGGGACCCTCTGGCTGCTCAGTCAGACAGGGCAACTGTACCCCTTCCGGCCTAACAGGCCCCCTGTCTTCTTGTGGGCCCACTGGGGAGGCCCCCGCGGGGCTGGCGGGGGACCCCGGGCCCTCCTGTCAGATGGCGCTCTCGTGAGACGTCCGGTGCAGCAAGGAGTTGCGCTCATTCAGCAGGTTCGTGGTCTCGTCCGCCGGCGGCGGCTCGGCCTTGTCAGCTGAGTTCTCGGTGCAGATGGCGCACCCGTCCAGGGGGAACTGGGGGCAGTTCTCCATGCGTGAGGCCAGCAGCCCGTTCTGGTACTGTTGCCGGGTGATCTGCAGGGGGGTGGGCAGGGGTGGGGTGGTCACTGAGGGCAGGGTTGGGGGGCCAGGGAAACGTGGCCAGGATGGAAGCTGAGTCCAGGAAAGAGGGCGTGACCCAGGGCAGTGTGTCTCAGAAGCGCCCCCCACCAAAGAGTGAGAAGCCAGAGTAGGAAGGACACACATCCCAGGTCCGGGCCTGCCGTGCTGGGCCTGCGTGTGCCGTGTGCTAAGCTTCAGTCATGTCTGACTCTTTGCAACCCCATGGACTGTAGTCCGCCAGCCTCCTCTGTCCTTGGGATTCTCCAGGCAAGAATACTGGAGTGGGTTGCCATGCCCTCCTCCAGAGGATCTTCCCAACTCAGGGATCTTGTGTTTCCTGCATTGGCAGGCGGGTTCTTTACCACTAGCAACACCTGGGAAGCCTATTCACGCTGGGTGCGGTGGATCAAAGAAGCTGCCGATGGACTGGAGGCAGAGTGATCCAGATGCCCAGGAGGCAGAGGATGGGGCTGCCCCAGGCAGAGGGCTATGGGAGTGCTCACCTTAATGTACTGGAGGTCCATGAGTGCCCGCACGCTGAAATCAGAGATGTACTGGCCCAAGATCGAGCTGCCAAACTGGTTGCTGCTGCCTGCCAAGGGCACGGTGCTTGCCGTTTCTGAGCGGTCTGGGTAGCTGAGGGAGGCCGAGCGGCTGAGGGCCGTGGGGTGGGATGGGGAGCGGTCTGTGGTGGGGAGAGAGACCATAAGGTCAGGGGCCGGCCTGGTGCCCCTCACAGCCTCCTGTCCAACCTTGTCCCTCAGACACCTGGGCAGTGGTGCCCTCACTGGAAACGGGAAGGAGTTCTTGGGTGCAAACAAAGCCCTTATTCAAGGTCTGACTTCATCAGAGCAAACGAGTTAGTTTGTTTAGAAGTGTTGTGCAGTAAGTATTCAAAAGTCTACCCGAACAGAGAACAAAACAGAAAACAAAAACCTGAGACACAGAAAGTTTATGTCTACAAAAGCTCTCATTTCCCCCAACAAGTAATGAGGCAGGGGCAACACAAAGATGGCCCGAGTGTGGTAGACAGCATCTCAATGCCCACTTCTGTCAAGGGATGTAAACTGCACACTTCTAAACTATATGAAGAGGAAAACCTACAGTTTGCACTCTCTCACCATACATACAGACACCCCCAATGTGACACCCTGCTCGTATCTCAAAATGCTTCTAAGAGCTCAAAAGCGTGTTCCATGAGACTTGTGTGTGGAACAGTCCTGCCTGTGTCTGCTGAGCCCAGCCAGTCTGGCAGGGGGATGGAGGCAGCAGACTCTTCTCACGGGAACCTGGAGGCCCCAGAGCTCCAGCTTCCCACGCTGGGGTGTCTGGAGACTGATTCCAGTTTCCATCCCATGAGGCAGAGCCCTGGGGTAGCTATGGCAGTGCCTCTTCCCCATCACTAGGGGCAGAACAGGCTTCATTCAGCTGATAGTAACCAGGAAAGGGGAATGACTCAACCTCCAATGAGGAAGGAACCAGCTCCTTATTTGCAAAAGCAAGGGCACACACATTATTGTACCTCATTAGCTCATATTTTGGGGGAACATTCAGAGAACAATGAAATGCACCAAGAAGTTAATTGTGAAGGCATGCTGGCTTGTTTTAAACAAACAGGTAGTGGCCTAAGCTGATTTGCTTAGTTAACTACTAACTTACTAATGACTCAGTTAACTATTCTAACGAACAGCCCAGTGAAAAAAGCAACCACTGAGTCTAGGTGACTGACTGAACCAACTGAGACTGAATTCAGTGATACTCCACATCTGAATTTCATTCATAAAACTAGGAACACACAGTCTGGGTATTCCACGATGGGTAGCATACAATAGCAATCCCCAACCTTTCTGGCACCAGGGTCCAGTTCCATGCAAAACAATTCTTCCATGGACCAGGGTGAGGGGGGATGGTTTTGGGACAATTCGAGGACACTGCATTTACTGTGCACTTTATTTCTACTATCATTACATCGGCTCCACCTCGGATTATCAAGCATTAGATTCCGGAGGTTGGGGACCCCTGGTATACAACCACCAGAGGACCATGTGCATCTATCACTCATTCAAACTTAAGTAACACCTTGGAGGTCAATATTTCTTACTGTTTAACATTAATTATTTCAATGACATAATGCTTTTAATTAATGCTTATTAACACTCCAGAGATAGGAAGTGAATTTAAACCAACATACATTAGTCACATGGTCTGTTAAAACAGAGGTCCTAGAAATTTAAAAAATACGAAGTTTTGTTTCTGAATGATGAAATTATGATACTTAATTTTCTTAGGATTTTTCCTACTTTTCTAAATAAGCTATGTTACTATTAAAACAAACCCAAAAAAGTAACCAAAAAAACCCAGGTAATTTTGACTTGGTAATTCCATCTCTGGAAATAATATTCTAAGGACATAATCTTAAACACAGAAGAAGTTTTTCCATAAAGAGGTCTACATCACGCCATTATTTAGAATACATACCCCCATGAACATGCGTAAGGGGGAAGTAACAAACGAAGGCACTTCTGCTTGGTGAGACCCTGCATAGCTCTAACTAGAAAGCTTATGGAAAACTGTCTCTGGTCCCATATCAGGTAAAGACATGAGGATTCAAGCCATGTGTGTGTCAACCCCGCCATCTATGAGACAGGAAAGGAGAGCGAGGCTGAGGGCCTGGCCAGTGAAGACCGACGCCGTCCACTCCGTTCTCATCAGGCAGCCTCCTGCTCAAAGGCCACTCATCACAGCCAAAAGTTGGCTGTGTCTGAATGGGACCAGTGACTGCTAAGTCACCTTTTTACTTTTTTAAGAGAATCAGTTTTTTTTTTAAGTGTGCTTTCGTATATTAAGAAGGAAAATAGCCCAACTATATGAACATCAATGGGAAACAGGTGCCTGAAGTGACAGGTTTCTGGGACGGCCAGGGCCGCGGGAGCCGCTTTAAGCTATGCAGGGAAACTGGAGCTCAGAGACACTCACCGCTCCCCTCCCCTGGGCGCAGCAGCCCAGGCCACAGTCTGACATCAGGACCTCTGCTGCCCCAGTGTACACGGGATACAGCAGTCCCGTGAACCGAAAGATGCTGGGGCCAACACGGTCCCCACCGACCCTGGTTCAGCACTCAGGAGTGTGACCTGAGGAAGGCCAGAAACAGCCCAGGGCCTTTGGCCTTTTCCCAAATGCTTCCTGGTTTCACTATAATAGAGAAAGTACAAGTAGTAATTGAGCTCTAGCTAAACATTTTATATCAATTCTCTTGCCTACTGCGGCCAACAATTCTTAAGAAGTGGGTACATGTCTTGTTCCCATTTCACAGGAGGAAATCAAGACTCAGAGAAGGTCAGTCAGCTCCCAGAACCATTCAGCTGGTCTTGGCGGAGACACCACTCAACCAGGGCAGTCTGACTGTGGCCGCACTTCTAACTCCAAGAGGCTGCCTCCCCCTGGCCAGTGGACACCATTTCAGCCACAGAATAAAAAAGCAAAGCTTGTGAAGAAAGTTGGGAAGGGAAGTTTTTTTTAGAGAAAGTTGCATGTGTGTGTGCTCAGTCGCTTCGGTCATGCCCGACTCTTTGCAACCCTGTGGACTGTAGTCCCCCAGGCTCCTTGGTCCTTGGGACTCTCCAGGCAAGAATACTGAGAGGCGACAAGTCGTCCTGCTGAAGTCTGTGTGGCCCTGAGCAGCAAGGCTCACCTGACCTGGCCGGGAACAGCCCTTCACTCCCAGCCTGTCACGTGCGGGTGTATGTGTGTGTGCACGAGTCTTCTCAAAGACTGAAGGACCCTCAGGGAAACCCTTCCAGGACCTGGGCAAAGGGACACAGTAACACAGAAGCCCAGGTCAAGCAGAACCAACACCTGTCAGGCTGGCCCACACATGTGAACGGGCGGGGGGGCAGGGGGGGCACAGGTGCCGGGAGGAGGGGGCGGAGGTGGCCCCAGTGCCTGCTGGGAGAGGTTAATGCAGCGGCAGGATGCAGGCTCAGGCGACAGGTGGCAGTGCACATCTTCCAGCCGTGCCTCGTTACCTGAGAGCCAGGAGAGCAGGGAGTTCCGCTTGCCAGGCGGACACCCAACCAGGGTGGAAGGTACTGGAGCAAAAGAGGAGAAGGTCAGTGGTGGGAGGGTGGACACAGAGCCACAGGAACAGCAGGGAGAAGCAGACCTGCTGGGGGCCAGGCTGCCTTGAGCAGAGACGGGGTGCCATGGGAAAGGGGACCCGGCTCTGATGGGGAGGGTGCCCAGAGCCCACAAATGAGCCCTGACCAGAAAAGGACGGAGCTGGCGGCGTGGGCCCAGAGCTCTCACAGTGAACACAGAGCCCCCAGAAGTCATCTCCCTTCCCTTCCAGCCACTGACGTGGGAAGCAGGGGCCTCCAGGTCAAGACAGGGCCCAGACCCCCAACCCGGCTCTGAGGCATCACTGCAGAGAAACAGCACTTAAGAGGAACGTCCTTTGATGGTGTGCCCTGCTTTATAAGGCTTCCCGAAGCTGGATGGTAAGAGGTCCTCCTAGGAGGGGCAGAGATGTCCTCCCCAGGCCTGGGGCACCTGGGCAGGGGCCACCTGTTCCCAAACCCGGCTCTGGAGCCTTGTTTCCCATCCCCCTCCTTGCAGGTGCCTACTCGTGCCGCTAGATGAGCTGAACTGTCAATATGCACGTGTGCCCAGCCGCCCACACGGAGGTCTTCTTTGTCAAAGGATAGCAGCAGGCACAGCGTGGAGGCACCCCTGTCCCCCTACCATGCGCCCGTGCTCAGCACCAAAGCAGACTTCCCCCTCTACAGCCTGCAGAACCTGTGGCTGCTCTCAAGGCTTGGAGGCGTCACACCACTAACGAGATGCCGAGTTGGGTGACACTGGGCCTTGTCTGCAGGGCGCCCCCTGCAGCCATAAGGCCCCTCTGGTAACAGGAGCCTGAGCCACCTAACAGTGGAGAAGCAGAGGGCCCTGGAGTGGCAAGAGAGGCCTTCTCAGAGGCTGCCCGGTCCTTTCTCTGCCCCCGAGCTCCTTTACTCCGTCAGAACTGACTCTTAACCCAAAGGCGGTGGCTCAGCCCCCTTACTGCATGGCCAGCAGGCCCTGGCCTGGCCCCGAGCACGGGCGCCTTGGATTCCTCGCCCCACCGGCTCCCCTGGACCAGCCTTCACTAGTGAGGCCACACAGCCTCCCTGCACCTGCCTCTCTCTCAACTGTTCTCCGCTGTCGTGGCCATGGCGGCCTGCTTGCCCCGCTCGCCCACTCTGCTGTTCTCCGCTGCCGTGGCCATGGCGGCCTGCTTGCCCCGCTCGCCCACTCTGCTGTTCTCCACTGTCATGGCCATGGCGGCCTGCTTGCCCCGCTCGCCCACTCTGCTGTTCTCCGCTGCCGTGGCCATGGCGGCCTGCTTGCCCCCGCTCGCCCACTCTGCTGTTCTCCGCTGCCGTGGCCATGGCGGCCTGCTTGCCCCGCTCGCCCACTCTGCTGTTCTCCGCTGCCGTGGCCATGGCGGCCTGCTTGCCCCGCTCGCCCACTCTGCTGTTCTCCGCTGCCGTGGCCATGGCGGCCTGCTTGCCCCGCTCGCCCACTCTGCTGTTCTCCGCTGCCGTGGCCATGGCGGCCTGCTTGCCCCGCTCGCCCACTCTGCTGTTCTCCGCTGTCGTGGCCATGGCGGCCTGCTTGCCCCGCTCGCCCACTCTGCTGTTCTCCGCTGCCGTGGCCATGGCGGCCTGCTTGCCCCGCTCGCCCACTCTGCTGTTCTCCGCTGCCGTGGCCATGGCGGCCTGCTTGCCCCGCTCGCCCACTCTGCTGTTCTCCGCTGTCACGGCCATGGCGGCCTGCTTGCCCCGCTCGCCCACTCTGCTGTTCTCCGCTGCCATGGCCATGGCGGCCTGCTTGCCCCGCTCGCCCACTCTGCTGTTCTCCGCTGTCACGGCCATGGCGGCCTGCTTGCCCCGCTCGCCCACTCTGCTGTTCTCCGCTGCCGTGGCCATGGCGGCCTGCTTGCCCCGCTTGCCCACTCTGCTGTTCTCCGCTGTCACGGCCATGGCGGCCTGCTTGCCCCGCTCGCCCACTCTGCTGTTCTCCGCTGTCACGGCCATGGCGGCCTGCTTGCCCCCGCTCGCCCACTCTGCTGTTCTCCGCTGTCACGGCCATGGCGGCCTGCTTGCCCCGCTCGCCCACTCTGCTGTTCTCCGCTGCCATGGCCATGGCGGCCTGCTTGCCCCGCTCGCCCACTCTGCTGTTCTCCGCTGTCGTGGCCATGGCGGCCTGCTTGCCCCGCTCGCCCACTCTGCTGTTCTCCGCTGCCGTGGCCATGGCGGCCTGCTTGCCCCGCTCGCCCACTCTGCTGTTCTCCGCTGCCGTGGCCATGGCGGCCTGCTTGCCCCGCTCGCCCACCCTGCTGCTGTAGGTCCCCCTGCTCACGGGCCACTGACGCCTCCTGCTCCGTATCGTGAGCAGACACCATCGACTTCCTGGGCCTCCCTGACACACACCCACCAGCTCCCTCGTCTTCTCCAGGCTGGCCTCAGCATCTCAGAACGCACTCTCAGCTCCCCTCCAGGCTCTGCTCAGAACCCCCTTCCCGCCTCCTCCCTCCACGCTCGGACCCCCGTCCCCACGGGCGAGCCATTTCTGCAGCCTACCTCCCCGAAGTCCGGGCCCTCACTGGCCGCCCCTCCCCGAAGGCACCTGGGCTCTGAGCCTGGAGACGGCCCCATATCCCACACCCCTCCAGACGTGCTGGGGGGCGGTCCAACGACTCACCAGAAGGGGCTGAGGACAGGGCCATGGTCCCATAGTAGGAGAAGGCGCCCGTCTCAAACTTCATGTTCTCCTTCCCGGCCTCCACCTCCACCTTCCCCTGAAAGGACACGGGTCACGGTCAGAGAGGGGGAAGAGCCGGAGGAGCGCAGCGGGAGCGCGGCTGCGGGCCGCGCGGAGGCGCTGAGGGCGCGGGCCCGCGAGGCGGCCTCGGGAGGAGCACGGGCAGCGGGGGCGGGCAGCGGGGGCGGGCAGCGGGCGCGGGGGGGCGGGCAGCGGGGGCGGGCAGCGGGCGCGGAGGGGGACGGGCCCACCTGCAGGACGAGCACGAAGTAGTCGGCCGGCTTGTTGCGCGCGTACAGGTAATGGCGGACGCAGCGCTTGTTGCGCTCGTCAAACCTGAGCTCCTGGATGACGTCCGGGTACTTGAGCAGCCGCAGGAGGATCTTCTCCGATATCAGAGCGGGGCTGAACTGCGGCACCTCTGGGGAGGAGAGGGGGGTTTCGCAGGGCGCCGGGCGGCGCCTGGGGCCGGCCACACCTCTGCTGCACAGCTCCTCGCCGCGGGCCCGCCTCCGGGGCGGGCAGCGGCTGCGCCCCTGGCTCTGGCCTCAGAGGGCGTGGAGCTGTCTGCCTGCCGGGACCGTGGCTCCTGCACTGATAGAACATGACCTCGGGCACGGGCCTTCACCTGGGTCTCAGTTTCCTCCTCTGTAAAATGGGGGTTTAAAACTTCACGGGGTCACTGCTTGCTGAAATGGGATAACAGACCTAAGACACTGAGACACGCGCTTGCCATGTGGGAAGTGCCCGGTACACATGACTAGTGCTGTTGTCCGAGTCCACAGCATCCATATCCCGGCAGAAAAATCACAGGGTCACAGCTTCAGCAAGTGAGGGCGGGAAGGAAGTCAAGAGTGAGGGGAGAGGATGGGGCAGGCAGGCATTTTCCTATTTAATCACCCAGGTCTCCAAGGAGCTATGAATCAGGGGTGAGAAGAGAGAAAAATGATTGACTGGGAGCTCAGGTCCCATGGGACCCGGCAGATGCAGGCGGACGGGAGGTGGAGAGACGAGAACAGAGCAGGATCCAGGGACTTGGAGAGGATGAGCGGGCAGGGCTGCAGGTACACCCACCGGCAGGCGGCATGTGGAAGGGTCTTCTTCTCCCTCCTCAATGGGGAACCTGGTGCCCACCTCCCATCCTCCCAGCATCAAACCTCCATAACAAATCCAGACGTTTCCTGGAAGTGTGCAGCAGCAACTCATTAACAGGAAAAATAAACTGCAGGGATCGTCAGGAGTGGGGGCTAATGCAGGGACAACGCCTCGCCCCCTTCCAGAGGCAGCCAAGCTTGCCCTGGGCCCTTCATCTGCCACAGCCCTCTGGGGAGAGGAAACCAGAACGCTCCCTCCACGGCTACATTCTGCCCCTACCCGGAGGGCCCCCTCTTGCTCTTACCCGTGGACAAGAAGCGATGAGCAGCCAGAAGTAGCTGAGGTGAAATTTTCACCTTGAGTTCATTGTCAGCATCTTTGAAGGCTGAGAAGTCACGCTTGTTCTTCTCAGAGACCCGTTTCCGGCTTCGGTTGTCAGCTGCAAGAGAGAATCTGGAACTGAGGCCAGCGTCCTGCAAGGACTCGGGAACAGACTAGAGCCCACCCGCCGGCTCCCAGCTTAGCGGGCCCTCCTTCCACCAGAAACAGCAGCAGCAGCAGCATCTGGACTGAGACACGAAGGCCGGGAGGAAGGATGGCCCTGGCTTCACACTCGGCCTTCCTGTCCCGGGACAGCAGGTGTCCGTCAGAGCGAGGCAGGTGGGGCGGGAAACTCACTGTACATATCAGACTCGTCCAGGATCTCGGACTTAATGATCTCCTCAATGACGTCCTCCAGGGTGACCAGGCCCAGCACTTCGTAGAAGGGGTCACCTTCGCCCTCGTTGTTCACCTTCTGCACAATGGCCAGGTGGGACTTCCCTGAGGAGAAAATGTAATGAGTTGGAGGAGCAGAGAGACCAGTCCTGAGACTCCTTGAGCAAAATATTAAACACATTTGGGGTCACGAGTCCTGAAGTTGTTGCTGAAAACGGATATTGCTTATACAGAAAGGAAAACCAAAGTATCTTTTAATTGAGGACCATGTGTTTAAATAGAATGAAGATGGCAAGTCCCAGCTTGGTGTGGTGTATCAGGGGCTCCTGGGAGGGAGAGAGCCCCACCCTGACAACCTGCAGACACAGACAGCCTCCGTCAGAGCCCCGTGTGCGCCGGGTGGACAAGGGGCTCCCAGGGGGCCTCAAGGGCCAGCCACATTCCTTCAGCAAGTGCCCCTTGGCATAACTCCCCTGCGTGTACCCAAAAGCCACGATCCTGCCCAAGGCAAGGCTCTCAGTTCCCAAAGCCATTAACAAATTAGCCCAGGCTATAATTAGGCCAGGCGGGTACTATAATTAGAGGAGGGCCACCCTTGAACCCCAAACAAGAGAAAGTTAGGAGGTAGAGGGTGGGGAGGAAGGACCCTCCACAAAGCGGAGTGGAGTGGCAGGGCTTCCCAGGCCTTCTTCTGGGATCCCACGCTTCTCACAGGTCCCAAACCCCAGCAAGTGACAACAACAGGGCCCAGCCCCCACTCTGAGTTGAAAGGGACTGTGTGCCCCCACACACAGGGACACGGGTCTGGAGGGGCCTAAGGGGAAAAGAGCCAGAGGGCCGTGAAGGTCAAGTCAGGTCTCCCGCTCAGCTTCCCCTCCATGACCCAATCCTAGCTGTGACTCTGCACCGTGTCCCTGGAGGAGGTTCTCCAGGTCTCCAGGGTCCCAGGGAAGCCCAGCCCCAGGACGCATCTTCACAACTCCCACGGGCCTTGGAGAGGGAACAGAGAAATGCCACTTCCCGTGACCAGCATTTTAAAAAATAAAGTGAAGAATCACAGAGTACACTACGTGTGATGGGGGAAGTATTGCCCCTTTAATGAAACTTGTCCACAATGTGCCAGTCACCGTGGTACATGGATTTCCAGTTGTGGTCAAACAAGGGCTTCCCAGGTGGCACTAGGAGTAAAGAACCCACCTGCCAATGCAGGAGACATAAGAGATGCAGGTTCGATCCCTGGGTTGGGAAGATCCCCTGTAATAGGGAATGGCAACCCACTCCAGTATTCTTGCCTATGATATCCCATGGACAGAGGAGCTGGTGGGCTACAGCTCATAGGGTCACAAAGGGTCAGACACGACTGAAGCGACTTAACACACACGCACATGGTCAAATAACTCTCAGCACCTTGCCAGGCAGAACCATGGCTAGACTCGATTAAAATTTCCCGAGGGTCTTGAGAGATGAGCCAGCAAGAGCTTGGCCAAGGTCCTCTGTAGGCAGCAGCCAGTCAGGGACTCGACCCGAGGGTCCAGCCCCCAGCCTCTCCGCCTGCCGGATGTAGCCCATACAGAAGTGCCCTCTGGAGTCAGAAACAATGTCCCCAGGGGCCTGGGCAGCCAGTTAAACTATGTCATGGGGCAGCGCGGGGAACCAGGATTAAAGCAAGGTAGCTCTTACCACTTTCGGACCTACACGCCCTAATTAAGCCTGGCAGTACCCAATGTTGGGGAGACACACAGGTCCTCACAGGCAGTCTGTTGGGCAGGTCTGTCGCTCATTTCAGCAGGCCAAACTGGCAGTATGTCTCAAAATTCAGGGTCCCCAACCTTGGGTCTGGAAATTTCAGGGGTAGGAACTTTTTCTATGGGTGGAATTTTCAAAATGCAGAGAAAGCAAAAGGGTTCATCAGAACATTCAACAATCTCAAACCTCAAGGGCAATGGATGGGGAGGGAGGTGGGAGCAAGGGTCAGAATGGGGAATACATGTACATCCATGGCTGATTTATGTGAATGTATGGCAAAAACCACCACAATACTGTAAAGTAATTAGCATCCAATTAAAATTAAAAAAAAAAAATAAATTTTCTTTAAAAAGGCCATGGATCAGGGGCCACTGCCGCTCTGGGAAGAATGCAGCAGAGCGGGGTAGACCAGGCGTGGGAGGAAGCCCTGCAGAGACTGTAAGGGAACGGGATGCATGGTGCCATTCGCAGACCTGCGGGGTGGCAGTGCTAAACTGCGCTGTCACTGTCGGGAGGCGGTAACGATGGTCACCTCTGGGGCTATCTGGAGTTTGAGGGAGGGCCTCAGTACCCTTCTATATTGTTCTACTTGCTGGGCATGTTTTACTTCTACAGCTTTTTTTTTTTTAATTGAGAAGAAAAAATGAAGGGGAGAAACAAGTTAAAGGGAATAAAGGGAAAGTGGTGAGAGAGGGTAGACAAGGACCCTCCATGCCGAACCCCTACCGCAGACTGAGCCCCGGGGACCAGGTGGGTGTCTGGATATTGCTCAGTTAGGGGGTCCCTGCTCACAGCCTAGAAGTCAGAGCTCCTGGAGAGAAAGGACAGTTCCAATAATCTGAGGAAAAGTCCTCCCCTACTGCTGCGACTGACGGTGACTGCAGCCATGAAATTAAAAGACGCTTGCCCCCTGGAAGAAAAGCTATGACACACCTAGACAGCATATTAAAAACCATAGACCTCACTTGGCCAACAAAGGTCCATACAGTCAAAGCTATGGTTTTTCCAGTAGTCATGTACAGATGTGAGAACTGGACCAAAAGAAGGCTGAGCGCTGAAGAATTGATGCTTTTGAACTGTGTTCTTGAAGAAGACTCTTGAGAGTCCCTTGGACTGCAAGGAGATCAAACCAGTCTATCCTAAAGGAGATCAGTCCTGAATATTCATTGGAAGGACTGATGCTGAAGCTCCAATACACTGGCCACCTGATGGGAAGAGCTGACTCACTGGATAAGACTCTGATGCTGGGAAGGATTGAGGGCAAAAGGAATACGGGGCGACAAAGAATGAGATAGTTGGATGGCATCACTGACTCAATGGACATGAGTTTGAGCAAACTCTGGGAGACAGTGAAGGACAGGGTGCTGCAGTCCCTGGGGTTGTAGAGAGTCAGACACGACTTAATGACTGGACAACGACTGAACCCTCTAATTGACCCACAGGCTCAGAACAAGTCCTGCCGCACAAACGGTCACGGGTCACCCTGGGCCTCACCGGGAAAGGTAAGCAGCTTCTCTGAAGGACCAAAATGTCCCTCCGTGGATGAAACGAGTAGGTTCCTCAGTTCCCGCTCAGCCCTCTCGCCTCCTCTCTGGGGAGCCTGGGTTTGTGGGCTCCACTGGTGGGTGTGGGCGCCCTCTAAGGGCAGCACTTTCCAGTCAGATAGGTACCCTGTAGGTGAGCGGACCTGGGGCACCGTCCTCGGCCAGCTCTGCCCTGCAGGCTAAGAGCCTGGAGCCCTGGCGCCAACTGCGGCTGGCCAGCTGGGGCCCCGACACAGAGGTCACCTTCTGCTGACCTGAGTATGGACCCTGGGCTGTGTTTGCCTTTTTCCTAACTTACCTGTCTCCAGAAAGGCCATTCTTTGGTCTTAGCAGAACCTTCTCCCCGCCTGGCCAGAGAACCTCTCTTGCCCAGGTCACCAATGACCTCCAATGGTGGGGTCTCATTCTCAGGAGACCTGCCCAGGCTACAATTTCTGAGCAACTCTCTCTCTCCTCATGGAAATCCTCCCTCCCCTCGGCTTCCAGGCACAGCTCTCCTGGTGTTCCTCTGACCCCAGGGCTGCTTCTCCTTCCTGAGAAGAGTCCCGGGGCTCAGTCCTTGTACCTGGCCCTTGCCTCACGACTTTAAATACAAACTATACATCAAGGTATCTCCAATAACTGTTTGCAGCCCTCTCCTGTGCCCTCTAGACTCACATCCAGCTGCTGGCTCACAGCTAGCTCCACATGGATGTCTAATATTGGGGTTTTCCTGTAAGATGTTACAAAAGAAAACCTGAATCAACTTTTTGGCCAACCCAATATCTTGACCTTGACTCGGTCAACCTCCTGCCCCAGACCTGTGAAGTGGATGGGGGCGTGGGAGAATAAAGTGCCTCCACTACTTCTCTACCCTTCTACATCCAGCCAGTTCAGCGGATCCCATCAGCTCTGCCTGCAATGGACACCCAGAATCCAACCACTTCCGGGAGCCTCCACTGCTACTGGCAGAGGCTGCTGTTGTTGTTTAGTCGCCGAGTTAAGTCCAACTCTCTTGCAACCCCATGGACTGTAGCCCGCCAGGCTCCTCTGTCCATGGGATTCTCCAGGGAAGAATACTGGAGTGGGTCGCCATGCCCTCATCCAGGGGATCTTCCCGACCAGGGATGGAACCTGGGTCTCCTGCATGGCAGGCGAATTCTTTACCGTCTGAGTATGCTGAGCCACAGGCCTCTCCTCTCACCCAAAGGGCGAGATCCTAAGTCTTCACCCGGGACCTGGGTCTACTCTCCACACAGCAGCAAGGGGGAGCCCCGCTGCACCCCAAACCCTCCAGTGGCTCTCCCACTCCACAGAGACACCGCGCTCCTCACGGGGCCTGGGCCCCAAGGCCTTCGCGCTGCCCTCCTCTCCAGCGCGGGCGACTCTCAGCAGCCCCCCCGCCCCCGACTCTTCCTCCAACATGAGGCCGCTCCCCCCCGCTCAGCCCTGCTTCAGGCCTGCGTTCAACGCTCAAACATCCCCTTTCAGTGAGGCCTACCCAGAGGGCCTCACTGAGGACTGCAAGCCTTCCTCCAGCCCCACAACCCGGGTCTTTATCACCGACAATAAACAACAGAAAGTGCTTGTTCATTGCGATTATCGTTCTATGGCCCATCTTCTCCCACTAGATTGAGAGCTCCATCAGAGCAGAGGCTTTCGTCTGTGTTCCCAAAACTCAGAACAGCGAGCAGTACATAATAGGTGTTCAATGAACACCTGTGGAATGGATGACACAGTTCACGTGGTTGTGCCTTAGGAACCAACAGTGGAGGAGGAGAGGGACAGAGACTAGGCAAAGAATTATTCTGAATTTCAGTCATCAAGAAGCTTTTG